ACTTAAATGGAGAATGACTGACTACAGAGTTTTAAGGTACAGAGAGATCTAGGGGTTCTAGTACGAGACTTAAGACATTAGTATGAGGGTAGAGCAAGTAATTAATAACACTACCAGAATGATACTTTTATTTTCATTTCCTCTTATAATAAAGGATAAGAATCTAGTTGTACAGGACATGACAGACCATATCTAGATCAGTGTATGGAGTTTTGGACTTGTTATTTAATGGGAAAAAAAAATGCATTGAAGGTTCTTCAGCTTTGCTCAATTGATTGAATTGAGTGGGTTGCCTTATAAGGAAAGGCTGGACGTACTGGGCTTATTTCCACTGCAGTTTAGAAGAATGAAGGTTGACTTCATTGAAACTTATAAGATCCTTAATAGTCTTGACAAGGTGGAAGTGGTAAATATGTTCTATCTTGTGGTTAAGTCCAGGACTATGAGACACTAATTAGAAAATAGGGATTGCTTTTAGGGCAGAGATGAAGAGAAATTATTTCCCTCAGAGGGTAGTGCAACTTTGGAACTCTGTGCCTCAAGGTGATGGAAGTGGGATCATTGAATATTTACAAGATGGAGGTACACAGATTCATGTTAGGCAAGGGACTCCAAGGTTATCAGGGCAGATGCAAATATCAAATGCAAAACACAAACAGATTAGCCATGATGTTATTAAGGGATGTAGCAAGCTTATGAGGCCAAATGGCCTACTTTTTCTTCTAATTTATATGTTTGGCTGTTCACAAAAATACACACTTTTATTTATGTTTTTCTAACCAAATTGATGTTTGTAAATGTTTGTGGATTGTTGATTCTTATTGGAAATTCAACAATCTTGTATTTATTTGACTTCTTAAGTCACCAACCTCCTTGTAAATTCAAAGGCCTGAAAATTTCTCTTGAGGGAATTTTAACTGATGAAATGCTAAACATCTTTAGGTTTTTCCGACTAAAATTAGTATTCAGGTGATTTTCTTTCTATCTGTATTGGACATCCATTTGGTGTTAGTGTGGCCAAGACTTTTAATACGATATGTGTTAATACACTTGTCTAGCATCGAGAACGAAGGTACAAGTCCAGTGCAGACTGAGAGAATGGGCTGTTCCTCTCACTAATGATATTTAAATAAATGAGTTTTTTTCCTGAGGTTGCTGATGGCTTACTTTATCATATTACTGGAACAGCCCTACAAGCAGTCTGCTGGCTGGCGTGGTGAATGAAAATATTGTATTTGTGCAGTGGCATGCATTTTTTCTGATAGAAGTCAAGTTTTAAATTGAAGAATCAGACCAATCCCACACAGACAGTACGATAGCATGGCCCTTCTGACAATATTATGAAACAGATCTGCAATGGATCATAAGGGTAAGTGGTTATATTATGATCTGATAAATACTTTATTTAATCTGTTTGATAATTCTGTCATACAGTAAAACTATTCCCTCAGGCATTCTTGAAATTATTTCTACTCCCTTGGGGAAATAGAAAATTTCCCATCTCCTGAAAAATAATAAGTGAATCCAAAATGTCATGAGTGGCTCCAATTAAGTGGTACTACTGATTCAGTTAGCATCAGACAATGGATATCATTTGGCCTTTTAAGCCCCTGCTGGCTCCATGCAACAGCAATTTAGTTAGTCCTGCTGCTTTTTCCCCGTAGCCATGCAATTAATTTTCCTTCAAGTACTTATCCAATTCCCTTCTTCTTTGTGTCTCATCAAAGGCAAGATTAAGTGGGTTCGGTAGATTCAGACCCAAAACACTTGTGCCTTTAATTAATTTGCCAATCATCTTATGTCTATTTTTTACCTTTCCCCAAATTAGAGTAGTTTTTCTCTACTCTTGATTTCTCAAGCTTAAAATCACCTGTCAAATCTTCACAAATCTCTTCAGTAAGGAGGTTAATCACCATAGCTCCGCGGTGGCAGGAGTGGTCCCCTTCCCCGAACATCGGCAGCAGGAATGCTGCCCTTCCTGGAGTGTTAGCAGCAGCAGGAGTGGTTCCCTTCCCGGATGGTTGGCAGTGGCGGGTTCCTTTGCTGAAATGGTGGTCCCAGGTGGCAGCAGCGTAAGCCAGAACGAGGCACTGGCAGCTTTGGCGTGGTAGGCTTGGTGTCAAGTTTGGGCCCAGTCCGGAATCCAGCAGCGGCTGCATTGCCGAGATTGGCCTAGCGTGGGCTCATGATGGAGGCAAAATGGCACTGAACAACGTGACAACAAGGTGCAGGGCTGGATGAACACAGCAGGCCAAGCAGCATCATAGGAGCAGAGGGGCTGACGTTTCGGGCCTAGACCCTTCATCAGAAAATGATTGACCTGTAATTGCTGTTTTATCCTTGCACCGTTTTGTTGAGCAAGTGTGTAACATATGTAATTTTCCAATGTTCTGGCATCACCTCCCCGTACCTAAGGAGGATTGGAAAGCTATGCTCAGTACATCCACAATTTTCACCCTCACTTCATTTGGTATACTTCAATACAACCATTCTAATTATGATGACTTTTCAATTTTCAGTATAGCTAGCCTTTCCAGCTTTTTGAAATTAATGGGATATGAGCATCAATAGTAAAGTCAGCTTTTCTAGTCCATTCTTAATTACCCTTGAGAAACTAGTATTTAGCTGCCTTTTGGAAACTTTGCAGTCCTTCTGATGCAGGTACTCCTGCAGTGGTGTTAGGAAGGGATTTCCAGATTTTTGACCTAGTGACAGTGAAACATCAAAGTTATAATGATATGTCAAGATTATATGTTTTGGGGGGGGAAATTTCATTCTGCCCTTATTCTTGGTGGTAGTTTGAGAGTTTGGAAGGTGCTTTGGTTAGTTGCAGCAGTGTATCTTGTAGATGGTATGTACTGCCACCACTGTCACAGTGGTGGAGGAATTCAGTATTTAGGGTGGTCAATAGAGTGGCAATCAAGCGGTTTGTGTGTCATGGATAGTGTTGTTGGAACTGTACTCATCCATACCCCTGAGACAGTCTTACGTAAAACTTCTGACATGTGCCTTCATATAATGGACAGAAAGAGAATTACTTGCCATTCATTGCCAACCTTTGACCGGCTCTTACAGCTAAGTATTTATTGGCTGCTGCAGTTAAGAAACTCCCAGGATACTGGAGAGGAATTGAATGATGTCAATACCATTAAATGCCATGGGTGTAGATGGTTAGATTCTCTTTTGTTAGAAATGACCACTGTCTGGCATTTTGCATTGGCCAGATCTTGCTGCATGTGAACACATTAGTTCAGAACCTGAGGAGTCATGAATAATGCTGAACACTCTACAATCACTGACAAACATACCCTCTTCATGACATGATGATGGAGGGAAGGTCATTTCAGAAGTATCTGAAGATGGCTTAAGAGACTAATCTGAGAAAGTCTTGGGTCTGAGATAGGCAGCCTCTGTTGACCACAAATTCTATCAATTTTTAGCTCATCCAATATCTCAACTATCTCCTCTTTCACTACGACTTTGTATCTGTCTTTACCCAGATAGGAGTTGCTGCCATAGAACTCCTTTAGTAACTCAGCCAACACTCACCCCATCCATTGGAGGACCCCTTTGCAGTTTATAATTGGCCCCCAACACCCCTCTTGCTACTCTGACTACTTTTACAACAGTTGACATATCCTGGATTCTTATTTATGTTAACTACCAATCTCTTCTCAATCTATTAGTTCCTCATATTTATTTTTCAAATTTCTCTCTGAACCTCCTATTTTAAGCTTGGTTCTTACTGAGTACCCTCAAAAATGTCACGTGTCTTCTCCATCTGATTCTCCCTTCCATCATCCAGAGAGGCCTGGATTTGGTTGTTAAGCCTTTTCCATTGTAAGAATGTATTTGACTGTTCCCACAATATCACTCCAAAGACAGCCCATTGTTTGATTATTTTGCTTGCCAATTTTTAATTTCAATTTAGCCATATCTCTTTTTTTACTAAATGAATTGTACTTAAGTACTTTTAAACTAGGCTGCTCCTTGTTCTCCTCCACAGCTAAATCTAAATCTTACGATACTATGATCACTGTTCCCTAAATTTTCACGTCACTTTATCCACCTCGTTCTCCAGAAACAAAACCACCAATGTCTCCTTCCTCATTGAAGTAAAACCACATGTTCGAGAAAGCTTCCATGTTCAATTTTTTTCTTCCTCTCTTACCCTACTATACACTGGGGGGAAAAAAAAAGTCCCTCATTATCATAGTTTGTGCAACTCTAATATCTCCATGTGTAGTGAAAGCTTTTCTGTGGAAGAATACATTGTACTGCAAAATTCTTCCAGGAAATTTCAAGTGTTCTTCTTTTGATAATATGTTCTTCTTTTTGTATGAAAAGTGACTATGAGTTTACTAGATAGATTAATTTCCTGTTGTGTATCAGTGTCCTTAGAAATTGTGACGGACCCTAATGTTAAGTGCAAAATGTATGTTCCATATAATCCCAAATGAAAGATTAGTATCATTGAAACACCTATTAATGTCTTCGACATTCAAGTAGTCCTATTATAACATCAAAACTACAGTTTCACAGTTAAATTACACTTTCAATTATGAAGTTGAGCAGGTTTTTTGATGCAGGAGGTGGTTGCATGTGCGAGTTGTACCGAACAATATATAGCACAAGATTTTTCTTGTATATACCTGCTGCAAGGTTATGGTTGCCGGTTTATTTATCGCAATAAAAGTTTCTGGTAATTATTATGCAACTAGTATGTGGCACAGAATCACTGCTCCATACCCAAATATGGTGCAAGGTCATTTATGCATGTTACTTACTGTGTAACTGCATAAACCTTATGATTGCATTATTTGGATAGTTTGAATTCATAAATCAAAGTAAACGCAGGGTTGTGGGGTTTTTTCCTATTCCGCCCCATTCTCAAATGTTACCCAAGCAATTGCAACTTTGACTAATCTTAATGTTCTGAAGTTGTGCTTTCCTGTTCAAGGAAATGCTTTTCTCAAAAATTAAGAAACGGCTCCATATTGTGAGTTTAATGATCATCTAAGGTTTTTAATTTTTTTACTGTAACATGAAAATTATAACAGTAAATATGAATTACGCACTATAATGATGAATCCATTGTGGGGGTAAAATTCCCAGTAATTAGTATATTATTTCTCATAGCCAGTGGGTAATGGGTTCACGTGCGAGTTGTGGAATAACGTATGATTCCCATCACCCCAAGGAAAAGGCTGTAGAAGAGAAACAAAGTTGCATTTGTATTACAGTATGATAACAAAATGATCCGAAATGACTACAGAATTTCTTTCATTATTTGCCAGTGTGCTGCAAGGAACCTGTGTGAAATAGCTATGGCATAATCTATGAGTAAAGGACCAGCACATAAAACTATTTTCCTTTATTTACACATACTGGTTATAAATACACCATACTGAATGGGGACTTCGATATTTTTTTAACCAACCTGTTCAGATCTGTTATGAAATACCACTGAAGCAGATGGGATTTGAACCCAGGTTTTCTCTGAAATTTCCACTCTCACTTCCTTTGGTATTCTTGGATGCATCTTTCCTAGTCATAAGAACATAAGAACTAGGAGCAGGAGTAGGCCATCTGGCCCCTTGAGCCTGCCCCACCATGTAATAAGATCATGGCTGATCTTTTTGAGACTCAGCTCCCCTTACCTGCCCACTCACCATAACCCTTAATTCCTTTACTGTTCAAAAACTTATCTAGCCTTGCCTTAAAAACATTCAGCGAGGTAGCTTCAACCGCTTCACGGGGCAGGGAATTCCACAGATTCACAACCCTTTGGGTGAGGAAGTTCCTCCTGACCTCAGTCCTACTAGTCCTGGTGCTCTATCAATTTTATGTTTACGCTTAGAGGCAAGAGGCACGGTTGAGTTGTTGAATGAAGACTTAGCATCCGCCTCACAGGTAACAACAGATGCAGTCCAGGCCGTGGTGAATAAGGAGGAAACTTGATCACTAGAACAGTTAAAGTGATAAGCCTCTAGCATGTAAAGTTGATAAGGCACCAGGACTGCATAAGATGCATCCAAGACCACTGAAGAAAGTGAGAGCTGAAATTGAAGAGGCGTTGGCAGTTATCTTTCAATGTTCTCTGGAACATTTAGGTTGGTTCCAAAGGATCAGAGGATTGCCCTTTTTTAAAATAAGTCAAGATGGGCCTGGCAATTATAGCTCAGTATTTTAGCTTGAGTGGTGGGGGATCTTCTCGAAACAATCAGTGTGGAAGCAGGCCATTCAGCCCACTGAGTCACACCAACCCCCTGAAGACCTTCTGATCCAGACCCATCCCCTTACCTTAGAGCCCTGAATTTCCCATAGCTCATCCACCTAGCCTGCACATCCCTGGATACTATGAGCAATTTAGCATAGCCAATCCACCTAACCTGCATATCTTTGGACTGTGGGAGGAAACCACAGCACCCAAAGGAAACCCACAGACAGGGAGAATGTGCAAACTTCGTACAGACAGTCACCCGAGGCTGGAATTGAACTCAGTCCCTGCCATTATAAGGCAGCAGTGCTAACCACTAAGACATTGTGCTGCCTCATTAGGGGTAAAATGAATAGTTATATGGAAAAATGTGAATTGATTCAGAAGAGTCAGCATGGATATGTGAAAAGAAAATCATCTCTATCTAATTTATGTTTTGGAAATGTAAGAGAAAAGGTTGATAACGGGAAAGGCCATGAACTTCTAAAAGTAACTGAATACTTGCAGACTTGCAAAGGAAGATACATGTTATGGAATAAAATGGACAGTAGAAACGTGAATGTTGAGAAATAGGAAACAGATTAATGGTTCCAAAGAAATCATACCAGACTTGAACTGTTTCTCTTGCCACAGATGCTGGTACGTGCAGGTCTTACCAGCATCTGTGGCAAGAGAAACAGTTCAAGTCTGGTATGATTTCTTTGGAACCATTAATCTGTTTCCTATTTCTCAACATTCACGTTTCTCCAGCATATCTGTTATACGTTAATGGTTAATAGATATTTATCAGATTGGAAGACAGTTCCACAGGGGTTGATGTTGCAATCCATGCTTTTCCTGATATAGGTAAATGATCTGGATCTGGGTTTGCATGGTGACAATTTCAAAGTTTGTGGATGAAATCCACGACCAAGCAAACCACTTGATACCCCATCTATCACCTTCAATATTCATTCCTTTCACCAGTGACATACAGTGGCAGCAGAGTGAACCATGCTTAAGACACATTACAGTAATTTAGAAAGGCTCCTCTGAAAGCTTCCAAATCTACAACCTCTACCACCTAGAAAGACAATGGTACTATCTATAAGTTGCACGACAAGCCACATCATCCTGACTTTGAACTTCATCTCTGTTCCTTCACTATTACAGGGTTAAAATCCTGGAACTTCCTACCTCATAGCACTGAGGGTGTCCCTGCATTCCAAAAACAGCACGGGTTCAAGAAGGCAGCTCACCACCAGTTTCTCCAGGGCAGTTAGGGAATGAAAATAAATGCCTAGTCAGCAATACCCACTCCCATGAACGAATAAAAAACATTCAATTTAGTGAGATCAAAAGGCCCTCTGTGCCAGAACACTGAGATCCAGTGCATCCTAGGCCTCTAAGGGAATTAAAATTAGAAATTGTGGAGATGCAGGTCACAATTTCCATTTTGCCCGAGATACAGGGATTGTATTGAAGGTATTGAGGATTGAAAATGGTATATTTTTTGAGGGGAGAAGGATAAACTTCAATTATGAGTCAATCAGTTTGATGTTGGTAATAGATAGATTTTCAGAACCATAATGGAATAATATTTACAGCTGTCTGGGCAAGTATGTTCGAATAAAAGACAGCCAGCACCAATTCGGGAGGATTTTGGTAAATTATCTTTAAACAGGTTTGTGATTCAGCAACAGAAGGTGGAGAGTACTGATATTTTGTATGCTGATGTTTAAAAGTTGTTCCATAAAGTATTTCATTTTAGATTTGTTGACAAAATTGGGATACAACCAACTGCAGGTTTGATTATTGAATTTTTAAAAAATTGCATTCAGGAAAGCCTGTTTTTGGGATGGAGGGACATATACCTTTGAGTTCTCCAATGTTCGCTGCTGTTTAAACATACATTAATGACTCAGACTTGGGAAGGGGATGTGTGCAGGGCAAAATTTTTAAATTTACAGATGATATCAAATACTAAAGATAGTCATATGCTTTTAACGGAAATAGACATACTGTTGGAGTGCATGAAAATACAGCAGATGAAATAGGGTTGGTGGGCAGGAGACACTTGATGCACAACATATACCATTTTTTTCATTCTAGGAGACAATCAGTTGAATGGTCAAAGATTGTATTTCTACTGTTGAAAATTATGAAAGTTCACAAAGTGTGACACTTGAAACTCCATGACTTTTTTTTATGCTTGTCTATACAATAATTCAAAGCCCTGGTGTTCTTTTATTATTTCTGATTGACAAAGTTGGTTTATCACTAAATTATTCTTTTAGTATTTACTGGAATATCTCTTATAGATCATTTACTTAGTCCTGTACCTTGTTGCGGATACGGAGATGTTCATAAGGCACAAATTCAAGAGGTTCATGACCTGACTTCAGAAAAGCATTCAGCATGAGGACAGCAACTGCTGGTAAAGCGACTACAAAACTCATTAACTTCCACATACGAGCTAAAGAACAGAAAAAGCATCAAATATAGATTAAACAGAATCGATGTGTAGCACTGGCAACATACAATACAGTAATGACCATACAGCTAAATGTATTTAGTATTTACTGCTGCACGGGACGAATTAATTATGTATATTTCTGTTATTTTTCAAAATAAAACAAAGACATATTCACTGAAGACCAGTGTAGTTGGTAACCTGCTTTGTAAACTTTTTTTTAAAACCAAAATATTATTCAGGTTGTCCACTTTATCATCAATTTTCCAACAGATTTTCTCAATCGCCAAAAATCTTAAAATAATTGTGCTCAACTGAATTTGCTAATATCTAAATATAGTTTGGATTTCCACCATTCTTCGAGATTCTAATATGCTTCACATTTAGATCTATGCACAAATGCAGCTGGTATGGCATCATGTAGCTTTAATACAGTCACTGCAAGGTTGAATGAGAATGGGTTCCTAACATTACCTGACCAGCACTGAGTTGCACAGGAAGTAACTGACATTGGAACTGACTTGTCCAGCAGAAGTGTTCATCATAAAATCAGACACAAACGCAGTTTTGTTTTTTAAAAACAAGTATAAGCTAAACTTTTAAAGTCAGTCGGTATTTGCTGTTAATGGTTGTGCATATACTTCATATGAAAAGTAGTATTTTCAACCAGTGAACCTCACTATCTTTTAACAAATGCCTTCTGTGATATACTGCAACACTCTTCAGAAAATAAAGTTAAATGTTCCTTATCACAAACAGCACAACAAGAAATCTATTAATATGTATAACAGCTTAAAATTCTTACACCGATTGATACACCATTGAAATCTAATATATCAACCTAGTTTGAGAGAATTCCAATGCTAAAATTACCTCAGCTAAAGCTTGGTTTGGACTTGATACTTTGTTTCACAGTTACAGGTCAGTGTCAATCTGGAAAGGTTCCATCAGATTGGAAAATAGCAAATGTAACTCCTCTACTGAAGAAATCAGATAGTCAGAAAGCAGGAAAATACAGTCAGTTTGCCTGACATCTGTCAGAGAGAAAATGCTAAATTCTATAATTGAGGAGGTTATAACAGCACATTTAAAGAATCTTAATGCAATCAGTCAATGTGGTTTTCTGAAAGGGAAATCTTGTTTGACTAATTCATTAGAGTTCTTTGATGAAGTAACAAGCAGTGTAGGTAAAGGGAACCAATGCAAGTTCTATTTAGATTTCCAAAAGGCATTCGAAGTGCTGCATCAAAGGTTACTATGCAAAATATCAGCTCATGGCATGGAAGTTGCATATTAGCATATATAGAAATCTGGTTGACTAACAGTAAGCAGAGGTTGAGTTATAAATGTGTTGTTTTCAGGTTGGTGGGATGTGAGGAGTGGTGTGCCACATGAATCAATGTCCTCATGTTTACAGTCAATATAAATGACTCATTATCAACAACAATAGTTAGAAAAATTCCATATTTCTACCACACTCCATATACAAGTGTTTTCTAACTTCAATCTTGAAAGGTCTGGTTCTAATTTCCATTTTTTGTCCTCTAACCAGATTTCCCAAACAGGATGAATAGTTTCTCTCAGTTCCCTTTAACATCCTGAAAACTTCAATTAAAATTATTTCCTTAATCTTCTCAATTTTGGGGAATACAATCCTAGTTTGTGCAATCTCTCTTGCAATTTAAATTCCATCAGATTCATTACAATACATCTATATTGCACCCCCAAGCCAATATAATTCCTCCTAGAGTGTAAAAGAACGCAGTAGTCTGGGGATAGCTGCAGCTTAACTTCAAACACCTTGTATTCTCACCTTCTATTGGCATTGGCCATTGTTATAATTTCATACCTCTATGACATTTAATGATCTTTGTCCACAGACCCAAAGCCAAATCCCTCCAAAGAAGACAGTCTCACGACCGCCTATATTGAAATCTATTTACTGTTATTTTGCCCTTTCACTTAATTTGTTATTACTGTGAGGGCAAAACTTCCATTTTCTATATTAAACTCTGTACTATTGTTTTACTAGCTAGAATACTTTGTTCAAAAAAAAGTAGATTGCCATCTAAGTACTCTCTTAGCTGTAGCCTGCAGCTAAAATGCAAGGCCTCTTACTTATGTGACAGCATTATTGACCAAATACCAGCTAAAGTCTAACTGCAGTACATCATCAATTGATAAGAAATAGAACATAGAACAGTACAGCACAGTACAGGCCCTTCGGCCCACGATGTTGTGCCGAACTTTTACCCTAAACCTAAGGTCTATCTAACCTCCACCGCCACCTTATACTATCATCCATATGCCTACCTAATAGCCGCTTAAATGCCCCTAACGAGGCCGACTCCACTACCCTATCCGGCAATGCATTCCACGCCCCGACCACTTTCTGAGTAAAGAACCTACCTCTGACGTCTCCCCGATATCTAACTCTTTTCACTTTAAAACTATGTCCCCTTGTAAAAGCTACCTTCACCCTAGGAAAAAGTCTCTGGCTGTCTACTCCATCTATACCTCTGATCATTTTGTACACGTCTATCAAGTCACCTCTCATCCTTCGTCGTTCTAAAGAGAAAAGCCCTAGCTCTCTCAACCTTTCCTCGTAAGACCTTCCCTCCATTCCAGGCAACATCTTGGTAAATCTCCTCTGCACCTTTTCTAACGCTTCCACATCTTTCCTGTAATGAGGTGACCAGAACTGGACAGAATACTCCAGATGTGGCCAAACCAGGCTTTTGTATAGCTGGAGCATAACTTCACGGCTCTTGAACTAAATCCCTCTATTAATGAAAGCTAACACACCATACGCCTTCTTAACAACTCTATCCACCTGGGTGGCAGCTCTCAGGGAACTGTGGACATGAACCCCAAGATCCCTCTGCTCCTCCACACTGCCAAGAATCTTTCCGTTAACCCTGTATTCTGCTTTCAAGTTTGTCCTTCCAAAATGAATCACCTCACACTTTTCAGGGTTAAACTCCATCCGCCACTTCTCAGCCCAGCTCTGCATTCTATCAATGTCCCTTTGTAACCTAGAACAGCCCTCCGCACTGTCGACAACGTGACCCACCTTTGTATCGTCCGCAAACTTGCTAATCCACCCTTCCACTCCTTCATCCAAATCATTTACAAAAATCACAAATAGAAAAGGACCCAGAACAGATCCTTGTGGTACACCACTCGTAACTGAGCACCATGTTGAATATTTTCCGTCCACTACCACCTTTTGTCTTCTAAGGGTCAGCCAAATACGGTGACCTTGCCACATAAAAGCATATAGCAACACAGAATTTTACAGATTTTCAATGATATTTTATTTATCCACTCCTATAGAAATAATAAAGCAAGCTTTCTTCCAATACAAGATACCTTTTTTTGCAAAACTAATTTCATATCAAGATATCCCTCTACTGACTTGGCATCATAAATAACTAACACAACACCTTTAATATAATGAAACGTGCACAAAAACATTATGAAATGAAGTATGACAAGTCACAAATAGAGAAATTAGATAAGGTGCTTGGTCAAAGAGGCAGGTTTTTAAGTATCCTTAAAAGTATCCTTACAGATGTGGAGAGGTGTAAGTAAGGTATTTCAGAACTTGGTGCCAATAGGTGACTGAGTTTAGAAGCAATGAAGGGATCTGAAGTAAAGGCATTTTCCCAACTCCCAACACAGCTCTGGTCATCACTTTGGGTACATATACTCTAATCCACATTACTGTGTAACAAAAACAATGAGTAAAGAGGCTTAGATAACAAGATGTAGAGCTGGATGAACACAGCAGGCCAAGCAGCATCAAAGGAGCAGGAAAGCTGACATTTCGGGTCTAGACCCTTCTTCAGAAATTCTAGACCCAAAATGTCAGCTTTCTTGCTCCTCTGATGCTGCTTGGCCTGCTGTGTTCATCCAGCTCTACACCTTGTAATCTCAGATTCTCCAGCATCGGCAGTTCCTACTATCCGAGTAAAGAGGCTTGGTTTCTTAAGCAGCTCACAATACAGATAGCTATATCTGAATATTGTTGATAAACTGAAGATTGGCAGAAGAGAACAGAAGTGAGGTCAGATTTTGGGGACTACAAAAGAGAAAAGGAGACAAAACTACAGTAGGAGAAGATAAATTGAATAAGGCTCAGAGGAAAGGCGTGAACAGAAAAAGAAATGGAAAACAATGCTGAAAGCATATTAAAAAAAATCATTCAGCGGAAACAGGCTTTGCAGGCTGAGCCAGCATTTATTGCCCATTCCTAATTACCCTTGAGAAGGTGGCAGTAAGCCGCTTTCTTGAAACTCTACAGTTGATCTGGTGTGGGTACACCAATAGGGCCGTTAGAGAGACATTTGCAGGATTTTGCCTCAATGACACTGAAGAAACAACAATATATTTCTAAATCATAATGTTAACTAGCTTGGAGGGAAACTTCAGGTGCTGGTGATCCCATGCCTGCTGCCTTTGTTCTTCCACATTGTAGTGGTTGTGGGTTTGGAGTTGATAAATTGAGAAACATCAACTTTTTAAAGCAGAAAATTCTGATTTATTGATATTAGTTGAGGCATAAATATTGGTCAGGATGAACTTCAATATTTTTATTAGAATAGAGCCATGGCACACAACCTTTTGACTCGAAGCAAAATCATTGGAAGGTTAGAGATCAGTTATCGCCATTTATACTATACTGCAAGGGAGTTGTTATCTCAGGGATTCAAGTTGAAAGGATCAAAAGCAAAATTATGCTACATGCCAGTTACAGTCCAGTCATCTCTTCCCACTAACTAGGTGCACATGAGCATCTATGTTTGTTGCATCTCTTGTATGTCTGATCTTGGTAGTGTTTAGATCTTGCAAATTTTGGTCGTATGTGATGGGGGGGATGGAAATAATTTTCATTGGGATCAATCAAATAATGCTGTGAAGCACCCAAATGAAGTTTAAAGTCATAATTTCCTAATCTCAGGTGCCACCCCAACATTTTCCCCATCCAGTCATCCTGTCTCTGCCTCTGCCTCAGCCACCATTTGTTTCTTTGGCTTCTTAGCGTCGTCACTGTAGCACAAGCTGCTCCCGCTAACGGTTACTTTTCAAATACCATTGCAGCGCATGGCTACCTCGCTGGCTCAGTATCAGCTTTTCATATTTTTGATCGACGAATCAGAACATTTCAGTTTTAATGTGGTGATTGCTGATCGCTTATTGCTGCGGGCTTTTGCTTTACCTGCTCCTGGTTGTCTATGTGCTTGGCTGGCTGTCGCTAAACTTCTGCTGACCTTCAATACTGCTAACCTTGGTGCCATTTTCGTCCAGAGTGACAGCTTCGACGATGTTTACCAGGCCGCGAGCTGCATTGTCTATGACGTCACAACGCAACGTCAGGTGGATCGTGCAAGAGAATTGGACAGTCGGCTCGTGACGGCCAGAATCAGGCGTTACGGGATTGAGAATTGAAGGATGATAGAGATGAGCTGGAGGAAAATAAGGTGAGGAAACACCGAGAAGAATACCACGAGGTAGTGCGGGGGACAAGACAGAAGTTTGACTCGAACGAGTCAGTTGAAATGTCAGAATTGAACAGAAAGTAAACTTACATTTATATCTGAATCAGAGATAGTAGGAACTGCAGATGCTGGAGAATCCGAGACAACAAGGTGCAGGTCACTTTTTACGGCTGCAACGTGTCATAGATCACTACAGCCAAGTGTCCTTTTAAAGTGACCACTGGTGTGATATAAGAAACACAGGCTAATTTTGCACAGAGCACACGCTCACAAACAGCAACGTAATAATGGTTAGATAATCGGTTTTTGTAATGTTGCTGAAGGATGGACATTGGCCAGGAGGTTGTTCTTCAAAATATTAACGTGATCTACCCAAGTTCAAGCCCTGCAATCTTGAACCTAAAATCTTGTGACTTAGAGACAAATGTGTTACAAACTGAGCTATTATTGACAGCAAGAGCATGGAACATGTGTAGCTAAAAGAGGAGAAGGCAAAGTGCAAGACGAAGGAAGTTACTGGAGTAGGGAGTGAATGAAATATAAGGAATATAGAAATGTGAAGGAGATATTTTAAAATTCTCAGTCATGCCCCGGATTTGATGGTTTCCATCGCTAGCTCCTGAACTTTTCAGGGTCTTGTGTAAGTTATCATTTTGCTCCCCTCATCACGAATAGAGGATATGTGGATCTAGATTGCTTTGTTAATTTGCTATGGCCCCAAATAAACATAGAAACATAGAAGAGAGGAGCGGGAGGAGGCCATTCAGCCCTTCGAGCCTGCTCCACCATTCTTCACGATCATGGCTGACCGTACAACTCAATAGCCTAATTCTGCTTTCTCCCCATAACCTTTAATCCCATTTGCCCCAAGTGGTATATCTAGTCACCTCTTAAATATATTCAATGTTTTGGCATCAACTACTTCATGTGGTAATGAATTCCATCGGCTCACCACTCTTTGGGTGAAGAAATATCACCTCATCTCCATGCTAAATCATCTACCTCAAATCCTCATACTGTGATCCCTGGTTCTGGACACACCCATCATCGGGAACATCCTCCCTGCATCTACCCTGTCCAGTCCTGTTAGAATTCAAAAGTCTCTATGAGATCCCCCCTCATTTGTTGAACTCTAGCGAAAACAATCCCAACCTAGTCAATCTCTACTCATACGTCATACCCACCATCCCTGAAATCAGCCTGGTAAACCTTCGCTGTACTCCCTTGAGAGCAAGAGCATCCTTCCTCAGAAAAGGAGACCAAAACTGCACACAATATTCTAGATGTGGCCTCACCAATGCCCTGTATAACTGCATCAATATATCCCTGCTCATGTACTCAAAACCTCTTGCAATGAAGGCCAACATACCATTTGCCTTCTTTACCATCTGATGCACCTGCATGCTAACCTTCATCAACTGTTGCACAAGGACGCCCAGGTTCCGCTGCACACTCCCCTCTTCCAATTTATAGCCATTCAGGTAGTAATCTGCCTTCTTGTTTTTGCTTTCAAAGTGAATAACCTCACATTTATCCAAATTATACTGCATCTGCCATTGATTTGCCCACTCACCCAACCTATCGCGATCATGCTCAAGGATTTCTGCATTCTTGTCACAGTTCACCCTCCCACCCAAATAACTGATCAGAGCTCACTTAGCAACTTAAAGTTAAAAAGTTTAATTTGACATGTTAAAATCTATGTAATAAGTACATCTGCCTTGAGATGATCCTGGATGTGATACTCTCTGTGGCACAATGGAGAAAGCATTGGACTTCTATGGATTTGAGGACCGTGTGATTCAAAGGTTGTGGATTTGCGGCCCACCAGAGTCAAGTTGAGTTTTGGGCGGCACGGTGGCTTAGTGGTTAGCACTGCTGCCTCACAGTGCCGGGAACCCGGGTTCGATTCTACCCTCGCGTGACTGGCTGTGTGGAGTTTACACATTCTCCCCATGTCTGTGTGGGTTTCCTCCCACAGTCCAAAGATGTGCAGGTTAGGTGGATTAGCCATGCTATATTGTCCATAGTGTTCAAGGATGTGTAAATTAGGGGATGGGTCTAGGTGGGATGCTCTGAGGGTCGAAGGGCCTGTTTCTACACTGTAGGGATTCTATACTACATAGCTGATCCAGTTAGAATATCTCTATTTTGCTTGTTGAATTTGATACAGGATATTATAATATTATCTAGTACAACATCTCTGTATATACACATTAATTTCTCTTTTAATATATATATGCATTTCAATGTACCCAATCATACTCTGTTATAGAGATAAGAATCTTAAATGTTGGGAGCTTCTAAATTAAAACCTAAAACTGACCAATTTTTCTAATGTGTAAGGTTTTCTAATCACAGCCATTAAACTCAGAATTTGTTTACTTTTACCATTAGATTTTGTACTTAAAATAAGATTCATAATGGTGTAAGTCAGTGGGCCGAATGGCCAGTTTCCACACTGTAGGGATTTTGTATATAAAATTACCCATCTTCTTAATAATCCAGTCCTCCAAAGCATAGAGACATAGTTGTGCACAGATTCTTATTTAAATAGCTTGTTTGGTTTGAATTGTGTAGGCCTGGACATGTAAGACCGCATATCTACAGCATTTCTACTTATGAATAAACTAAAACACCATGATGTACTGTTATTGGCAACTAGAGATATGAGACACTAATACCCAGTATGAGGTCCTTGAGGCATCCTGGATACACCAAAGTGGTTTTTAAGAGATTTGAAGCTTGAACAATCCAACCTGCAACAAGGGAATAACTTGAGCATAACTCTTAGTTGAATATTGCATTCTGCATTATTAAAGTGTAATGTTCTACTCATTGTAAAACAATACTTCTTTTGACTTGTCATGATAAAGATTTTCTCTCGTTTCTGGCAGACTTTAAAAACTATCAAGTGCTGTCATACACAACAAGCTCCAAAGTGCTGTCTGACCACTTTGCCTCAGTGCTACCAGATATGAGCCCTGACCCAAATTTTCCAGCAAGTTCCCTTCTATACTACTGTCAAACCCCACAATGCTCCAAAAATCAGTACCCACACTTCCATACCAGTATTGCAAATCTTCTGGATGCTACTCGACTGCTAGATGTTTCTCCTACTTGTTACCAAATGCCAAATGACAAGCAATTGACTACTTTAAAAAATGTGACTATTAGAATAGTTTTATAGAAACCTAGTCATGACAGTTCCAGCTTTCAGAGAATTCATGAATCTAATCACTTGAGACTTGCTTAAATATAAGCACAGGACAGGTCTTTATAGGAGTGCAAATAAGGAAGCAGGGAAGGAATTTAAAATAAGACTTAAATGCACCCACTATGCTGAGAGTAATACATGTTGTTAATTGTTGGATTTAGTAACTTCAGACAATTAAGAGCACATTAGAAGATTAAACATTGCACTTGTTCAGTCTTGTCTTCAGAAATGGTTTTTCACTCAACTGAAGGAACATTCATTTTGTTGTGTTTGGTTTTTGGTTGGGTCGGAAGGTGGTGGGAGGTGAGGAAAAGACTCGGAGGGGGGGAAATAGACCAAAGGGACTGTGTTGAGATCAACTACACATTTTACCTGTATATTGAAAACACAATACTATTCTGAAAGAAGTTTGATTACCCCTCCAGTGAAAGATTGAATACTGTGTCAATATAAAGAGATTGTACCATGTCCCAGACTAATGTTTCTGTTATGATACTCTATATATAAACTCTTTGAATTTATGTAACTATTGTAATGAAAGGCCCATTCAACACAGGAGTATAGGTTAGTGGTGTTTAGGTGTAAAATGCTACACTAAGTCCTTCTTACTGAGGTATGAAGGGACCAGTTAGCATTTCTTTTTGTAGTTGGAGGTACACTGATGAACTCAGAATGTAAGAGCAATAGTTTGATGCTTAAGGACCCCTCAGTTACTTTAGTACTGTTTTGCAGAGGAAAATAGAGAAAATAAATTCTAATCTGTGAAATACAATTGTTGCAGCAGCTAATTTTATTGGTTTACACCTTTTCAATTTGGGAATGCAATTAATTTCACAAGTATTGATCTTAATACTAAGTCAAAAGGTACTGGAAGTTGATTGAGAATCTGGTATCAATAATCTTTGACTTGTTCACTGTAGAGGTTGAGTTGCAGTCACCAGTTCCACAGTTCATATTCCAGAGGAGTTGTTCCAACTACGGTTGGGGAACTTCAGATGATAATAGTGATGGCAGATTGTCAAGTGCCCCAATCTCTGAAACAAATAATGTTCAGTAAGGATCAAGTTAAGAACATGGAAAAATTTTATTAGTGGAGCAAAAATGAATACAATTTCAATTAAACTTCTTTTTCAGTTTCCATTATGTAAGATTGTAATACTGTTCTGGGAACTTAATTCTGTATAAATATTTTAGATGAAAGCCAGAGACCAATCTTTTAAAAGCCACAGAGTCATATAGCATGGAAAGAGACCTTCAGTCCAAGCCTACCATAATCCCAAACTAAACTAGTTCCACCTGCACTTGGTCTATATCCCTCCAAACATTTCTAGTTCATGTACTTGACCAAATGTCTTTTAAATGTTGTAACTGTGTCCACATCCACCACTTCCTCTGGAAGTTCGTTCACATATGAACCACTGTATGAAAAAGTTGCCCCTATTTTAAATCTCTCCTCTCACCTTAAAAATATGCCCCTTTCTCTTGAAATCCCCCACCCTTGGGAAAAGACACCTGCAATTCACCTTATCTATACCCCCCTCATGATTTTATACACCTTTATAAGTTCACCTCTCAATTTCCTATACTCCAGTGAAAAAAGTCTCGGCGTATCCAGCCTCTTCTTATAACTCAAACCTTCATTCCTGGCAACGTATTGGTAAATCTTTTCTGACCTTCTCCAGCGTAATAATATCCTTGCCATAGCTGGGCGACCAGACTTGTTATGGTACTCCAGAAGAAACATCGCCTATGTCCTATACAACCTCAAGATGACATCCCAACTCCGATACGCAAAAGGTCTGAGAAATGAAGGCAAGCATGCTAAATGAATTAACCACCCTGTCTACATATGATCACCTTGTGGTGATGAGATTATCCTCAAAATCCAAGAGTGTGGTGAAGATTTTTAAAGTGTTCCAAGTCTAAGAAAAAAAAGTGTAGCATCTCTAATTTAGTTCATGTCATTCCATGTTATAAACAATAACTCATCCCATATTGTAATCCCAGGGAAAAAAAATGTTTGTATATATTCAAGGTATTAATTCATCTTTATTCTTTCACTAATTTTGGGTCGCCACTCACCAACCCCACTTCTAATTAGATTTTGCTCAATCAATTCAGGCCTGAATCACGCCGCAACTTGTATCTAGTGTTGGATTTATCTCACTTTCCTACATTTTATTATTTCTAACCATGAGCCTTCATTGTTTATGTTGGGCAGGATATATAACATCCAATTGTATTAACTCTAATAGATACTAGTCAACTATCTGATCCATCACCATTTCTAAACAAAAGATAGGCAGTCCCTGGGTTGTGAATGGATTTTATTCTGGAGTCTGTTCACAAGTCTTTGCACACAAGTTGGAACACAATGCAGGACGATGCAAAGCAGCTGTTGGTAAGTACGGGAAATGTTTGAATGTTGGGTCTTTAAAGTTACACCCTTATATTGAATTGCATTTATAAGTAGAAGCATTTTGTTTAAAAAAATGTCAAGGACCTCCTATGTAAAACATAGTTATTGAGTCTTGATCATCTCGCTTTAACTATTCATTGCTTTCAGGAAAATGTTAGAACAGGAGTAGGGCATTCAACTGAGCCATTCAACTTGCCATTCAGCCATGATCGTGGCTGATCAAACACTTCAAAGCCTTTTACCCATCCCATCCCTATAACTCTGTACACCAATGTTAATTAGAAAAATCAATCAATCACTACCTTATAAATACTCAGACTGAGCTTCCACAGCCCTTTGGTGGAGAATAGCAAATGTTCACAGTTCAGTAAAAACAAATTTCTCATCCTGGATTCAAGTGGCATTCACTTATTTTTAAATTGAGGCCCCTGGTTCTAGACCCCAACCAGAGGAAAGCATTTTATCTGCATTTAGCCTGTCTATCCCTTTAGACATTTTGTAGGTTTCAAAAAGATAACCTCTCATTCATCTAAATTCCCAGGAATACAGGCCAGTTTGCCCAATCTTTCTTCATAAAACAATCCAGCCATTGTGGGAACAAGTCTGGGGAAGCTTTATTGCACTCACTGCATAGCAATATTATCTTTCTGGAGACAAGGTCATGGTACTGGGCATAGGTGCAGTTGAATCAAGCTCCTTTACAATTGAAGGGAGACTTCACTATGTTCATAATCAAAACCTCTTGCAATAAAGACTAACATTCCATTAGTCTTCCAAATAGCTTGCTGCATCTCCACATTAGCCTTCAGTGATTTGTTGACAAGGACATGTAGGTCCCTTTGGTTATGTATGCTTTTCGGTCTCTTACTGTTTAAGAAACACTCTGCACATTTGTTTCTCTTGCAAAAGTGAACAACATTTTGTTTTAAACATTTATGAGAACATCTGGGGCCCAAGTTTTGATTCTGTGGTACCCCATTAGTCACAGCCAACATGACAATTACCCATTTATTCCTACTGTTTTCAGTCTGTTAACTAATAATTAATCCATGCTAGTATATTAGCTCCAATCCCATGTCCTTTAATTTTTCTGCCCAGCCTCTAACATAGAAACATAGAAGATAGGAGCAGGAGGAAGCCATTCAGCCCTTCGAGCCTGCACCACCATTCTTCACGATCATGGTTGATCGTACAACTCAATAACCTAATTCTGCTTTCTCCCCATAACCTTTGATCCCATTCGCACCATGTGCTAAATATAGTTGCCTCTTGAATACATTCAACATCTTGGCATTAACTACTTCCTGTGGTAATGAATGCCACAGGCTCACCACTCTTTGGGTGAAGAAATGTCTCCTCATCTCCATCCTAAATTCTCTACCCCGAATACTCATACTGTGACCCCTGGTTCTGGACACACCCACCATCAGGAACATCCTCCCTCTATCTACCCTGTCTAGTCCTAGCAGAATTTTATAAGTCTCTACCTCTCATTCATCTGAATTCTAGTGAAAACAATCCCAACCTAGTCAATCTGTACTCATACGTCAGGCCTGCCATTCCTGGAATCAGCCTGATAAATCTTCGCTGCACTCCCTCAAGATCAAGAGCATCCTTCCTCAGAGAAGGAGACCAAAACTGCACACAAATATTCTAGGTGTGGCCTCACCAAGCCCTGTATAGCTGCAACAACACTTCCCTGCTCCTGTACTCGAAACTTCTTGCAATGAAGGCCAACATACCATTTGCCTTCTTTACCGCCTGCTGCACCTGCATGCTTACCTTCAGCGACTGGTGCGAAGGATGCCCAGGTCTCGCTGCACACTCCCCCTCTCCCAATTTATAGCCAGATAGTAATCAGCCTTCTTGTTTTTGTTTCCGAAGTGAGTAACTTCACATTTATCCAAATTATACTGCATCTGCCATTGTTCTAAGTATACTGCGTCCATTGGTTCTCCTGTATCAGTTGTTAGTAACATCTTAAAAAAACTTCAAGTTTGTCAAACACAATTTGCTGTTTGCAAATCCATCCTGACTATGTCCAATCAGATTGTTCAAGTGTCTATTTATCACATCCTTTAAAACAGATTCTAGCATTTTTGCTATGGCTGATGTAAGACTAACGCCCCGTCCATCCACCTCCTGCCACTCCTCCCACCCCCTGCCCCCCTCTCACATAGTGGGATAACATTTTCTACCTTTCAGTCTGGAGAATTGTTCAAAAACTATAGAATCCAAGATTACCAATGGTTCCACTATCTCTAAAACCACCTCCTTCAGCACTCTGGGATTTAGTCTGTCATGTCACAGGAACTTGTCAGTCCTACTAAATTGCTCCAGTACATTCTTATTAATTCTAATTTCCTCCAACTCATTCTCCCCATACATTCATCTCTAGTTCTGAGAGATTTCTTGAATCTTCTGTGAAAATCTAAGTAAATGTTTAGCTTCTCTGCCACTTTTCTATTCCCTGTTATAAATTCTCCTGACACTGCCTATAATGGATCCATATTAGCCAACGGTTTCCTTTTTAAACATTTGTAGAAACTTTGATCATCCAGTTTTGGTTTTTTGCTAGATTGCATTCATATTCTCTTCCCATCCTTATCGGTTTCTTGGTGTATTTTAAAAGTCTCCAAATTCTCAAATTTATTGCTATTTTTGTCAAGTTTAGGCCTTTTCTATTAATGATGTACAATCCCAAATTTTGTTTGTTTGCCACAGTAAATTAATCATGAGTTTTTGCACCTTTGGGGGATGTATAGTTGCTACAAGTCACAATAGTTCTTTAGAGACTATTCATTGCCTTTTAGTCATGCACTTTAATGTATTTTTCAAATCCATCTCAGCCGATTTTTGCCTCACGCCTTCAGAGCTTTTCTTATTCAAATTTAATGCCGTTGCTTTAGAGTGAAATACCTCACATCAAACATAATGTAAAATTTTACTGTGGTCAGTCTAAAGATTCTTTCAGAGAATTGTCAGTTAACCCTCTTTCATACATAACCCTCGATGTAAAACAGCATGTTCTCTAGTTGAACTAACAAGGTGTAGAGCTGGATGAACACAGCAGGACAAGCAGCATCAGAGGAGCAGGAAAGCTGACGTTTCAGGCCTAGATCCTTCTTCAGTTGTTATCTCTCCAGCATCTGCAGTTCCTACTATCTCTGAAACAATGTTCTCTAGTTGGCTACTCAACATACTGCTTTGAGAAACTATTCCTATTAATCTTGTTTGTGGCTTCCTCAAATGTTGCATTACTGTGCTGATGAAAAGAATGACCACAAAATGGCTACGGACCAAGAGAGTGGCCCTACTAAATACCACCAAGCCAACAGACTACTAGTGGAATGACTGAAGGAAATGACCAGGTCATCAATGACAAAAAGAGGATCATGGAAGCAACGTCGCTGAGAGAAGACTACTCTTGGACTTTGATCTGGACTCTTGAACTCTGGCTTGGATTCATAGACTCTAATTTGGATTGTTTATTAATAATGGCCCTACAGCCATATTGTGGCGTAGAGCCAAAGAGGTGATCTGTGGAGGTGACCTGTACGTGTCCAAACAAAATGACCTGTACCTGCTTATACTAAAAAATTGCAACTAAGCAAAATAGGAGATGGCAAGGACCGCAGATGCTGCAATTCAGAGTCGATAAAGTGTGGAGCTGGAGGAGCACAGCAGGTCAGACAGCATCAGAGGAGTCCTGATGAAGGGTCCCAACCCAAAACGTCGACTTTCCTGCTTCTCTGATACTGTCTGACCTGCTGTACTCCTCCACCTCCATATTTTATCAACTAAGCAAAATAATGCTCGCAGTGAAACATAGTGGTAACTTTGAACAAATACTGGAAGTTCAGTAAAAGAACGCTGTACATTCCCATCCGAGACAGTTCTGATAAGAGGTTGCCTAAGGATAGATAAGTAACTAATCCCAGCCTCATTAATAAAAGAATGATTGTCTCAGTAAATGAATAACACCAGGTATGAGTCTCAGCCCATGAACCAGCCAGATTAACTCCCTAAGCAGCTGCAAAGGGAACAGCTAAAGTTGTTTTGTAGTAAATTGTTTCTTTGAAGTTACTCACAATATTAAGAAATAGGTTCTAGTCAAAAATTCTTCAGATAATCTTAGGAGTAGTTTTCAACACAAAGGATAGGTACACATATAACCAAAGTATAATACAAGCATTGAAAAAAAAAACTTAAACCTATATGTGAAACTTAGTCTTAAGAAACGCCTTCTCTTACACCTTGAACAAAATAGATTGTTCACAACCCATTAATTACAAAGTGCTAACAGTAGAAGTAGCTGAATATTTTTACCTTCTAACAGAAATTAACCTTATAGCAATTAGTTAAAACTAACTGGCTTTTGTATTTTTATATACATAATTAGGACAATGGGAAATAAGAGGAATGGCTGAAGTTGATAAAAGAAGGCAAATGTAACACAATGAATAATAGAATTCAAGCTGTCCTTAGAGATAAGAAGGAGTATAGCCACTAACTTTGGAATGTGAATGAATAGGATGCATAGAAAGATTCCAAGGGCCAGAGATTATAATGTCTAGTAAACACCATGAGATCATGGGAACCTGGCGCTGTTCATAGGAATAAACATCATTAATTAGGTGTCCCACGGGATTGAATATATCGATTAAGGGGGAGGGACAGTGACTACGCTGAATTTGATTATTGTAACAAAAGATGTACATAAGTGCTGTATTTCACTGTTAAAATCAGAGTGTGCCATTGATCTCTCTTCTGATCTAAGCCAAAGATTAAGGGAATAATTGAGTTCTCATGTCAAGGCCATATTCGTGGAAGATCCTTTGGCCCTCTCCTTGCATCAACCAGTTTCTGCTTGAATAAAAGTCTTCCACTTGCCTGAATCCTGCCTGCCTCCTGAGTCTTTGTCCCCATTTGGGGGATACGCTCCTACACTAAAAGTCCAGAAGTTTGTTCTCTGTAATTTGTGCACAGTTACTTTGTCCAGTCTATATGCACACTAAAGTCACCTTTGCTAATTATGTTGGCCATGCTACATGTTTGTCTCATCCCATGATAAACATTAAAGTGCCAAACTACCATTACTTCTTTTGCCTATAAATAGTTTCAACTAATGTCTGCTGCCTCTTGCTGTTTCTTAGCTGTACCCAAACCAATTCCATATAGGGGACCTTAGAGCCTTCAGGACTCAAAAGTTTAACAATTTTAGAGCATGATCACCTCCTTCCAGGCCTTTTTCTCACCCCACATCCAGGTCCTATGATGATTGGGTTGCTTTCAGCAAAGTCAACCCATTTTCACCTATTTAGTTTTCTTCCCTTGCTATCAATAATTCCTTAGTCTGCCTAGACTCTCCAGAGAATTTGTGTCTTTTAGGTCCCCAACATCAGGCGTTCTTTGCTCTTCCAGTTGCAGATCCTACCTTACTAGTGTACTGATCCCATCTCTTATCACTGGCACAACTCCACTTTTTCATCCTTCTTCCTAAGATGTTGAATAGCTTTCAACATTCATTTCCCAAGCCTGGTCACCATGCTGCCATATATCTGTAATGGCAATTAGATTATACCCATGTCTCTTTGTTTGCACCTTCAGATCTTCATCTTGAGAGAGAGTGATGCATGCATTCAGGTAGTGTCCTCTTAAAATGTGTATTCCATGTGGCTTCGTTTATCCTGTCTTTTAGTCCCTGATATTTTCGGTATTCTTGTTACCAATTTTACTTCCTTTCAGTTCGAAACAAAAAAAAAAATCAGCTGGTTGCTTGTTTTACTCAAATCATATCCAAACCTCTTGGTCAATCTATTTAATCTGTCTCAACGCTATTTTGGAAATCTTGCATCCAATTCTCAAACACATCCACCTGAATTACATGCCAATTTTATGTTATTCTTTCATTTCAAAGTCTTCTAGATCACAATGTCAGTCTCATCCAAACCTCTAATGTGAACCAAATCATATTCTTTTAGCTTCAGCAAACCTTACCAAGTCATAATTCACCTTTGAATGAAAAATTATTGGATTATCATGGGTTCAATCACGAGGTCAAAACCAATCCAATATACATTTCAATATCATGCATCAATTCAGAAATCTCTTATATACATTATATATAAAGTGGGCAAATGGATGGAAAGCAATTCTTTTGCTGAAGTCACTCATCTGGCAGCATGCACCCAAAAAAATTTGTAAGTGGACCAACTGTTTTAAACCAAGTCCTGACTATTGGCTGTCACATGAAATAGAGTTGAGAGAGTATACAGTGGGATATTTGGTGTAATTTCAGCTGCAGGTATGATCAACATTAACACATTTATTGACAGATTTTATAAAACTGAAGTTTGGTAATTTCTACAATTATCAAACCAAAGATGATGTGATTGCTTAAGACCATTTAGATTTAATGTTCTGATATATGTAAAAGCATGACACGTATTGTTCAATATATAAAGAAGGCTGGCAGGACTAGAATACAATAACAGAAAATGAAATTTGAAATAAAAAACTACTTTTTGCTCAAAATGGTCAGGCTACTCTACCAGACAAAGTAGTCAACGTTTAGTTCAAACACAATAGGGGATTATAAAAATGCCTTATAGTATACTTAGTCATCATGTATTCAAATCTTGCTAATTTTATGTCCAGGTTAGATGGGGGCTGTTGTGGCACATTGGTAGTCTCCCTAGCTCATTGTCCCACCTGCTCCAGATATGTATCATAACAAGTCTGAACAGGTTGATTAAAACTATCTATGTCCAACTTGGTAAATCTACTATCTTATAGTTCTTATTTCACTTACTTTGCATCTAGTTGAAAGCTTAGCATCCAAATAAGTTTGATTTTAATTACATGTAGCAAATCATTGACATAAAATTTTACATTCAACTTATCTCAACCAAGTTGTACCTAATCGGAAACCCATCCCACCTATTTGTATCCATAATAAACTAGGTTAACCTTCTTTTCTCATCACCAACCCCAGTTGTTTATTTTAGATCCTATGCTATGTTTCTATTCAAATGCCTCTCACTTGCCTTTATCCAATTCAGTGATAACTTTGCAAATTTTGTAATTAATGTAAATCACATTTATTTTATCCACAATTACCATAGTTATTTTACATATGCAATATTTAACAAAAATGTTTAATGCTACTGCTACCTAAAACATTCATTAATTCATGTAGTTCAAATATGCCAATCTTGACTATCTTCTGTGGGATCCAAATGCTTTACGATCTTCCAGTTATTTATCTTCATTTCTTGTCACACTTACATGAATGGATGATGATCAATGAGTATAAACTTGGAAATTACAAGAGTCCAAAAGAGTCAGTGAACAGTTGACAGGAAATAAATAGGAATGTAAGAGGAGGAGACCATACAGCCCACCTTTTAATTAAATTATGACAGATCAGTACATTACTTCACTTGCTTTGGTTCCAAATCCTCTTCTCACTCTTAGGATAGAATGTGCTTTCAGTATCAATTAGTCCTACCTTTTAGATGCAAGTATACAAGAAATTCAATGGCTATGCGAGCAACACTTTCATCTGCAAGGTTTTGTAGCAAGTTACCTGAAAAACATGCAAATCAAGGTTTACCATATTTAATCTAGAAAAATTACTTTTGCTCAAAAAAATGAATTGAAGATTGCTAACATTCTATCATAAAACATTTCTAAGTTAGATTGATGAATCAGAGTGTAAAAAACCCAATAATATTTCAAAAAGGACAATTGACATGTAATCAATTTGTTCCAATCATTCCTATAATTTGTAATTATCAGAAAGTCAGATGCTTTTGCCCAACCTAACCCATCCTACACGCTATGCTTTTCATTGCAATGGAATATATTATTCTGTTTTGATGGAGACATCATCTATCTATTTATTTGCTCCTTCTGATTCAGGAAGCACATTCAGTTTGAAAAAACTAATTTGTGGCATTTGTTTTGGTCTGTAATGTGGGGACGAACAAATTGATTACTTTCTCTTACCATGTTTAAGTTCATCTTCAAGCTGCAGTTCACGTTTGCCAGCAAGGCCATTCTTGTCACTTAAGGATCGGTGATTGTCCACAGCATCTGTGATTAGGACAATTATCAAATTCAACATTAAGAACTTTTATTAATCTGCGATACCAAAACTGTTCAACAAAATTGCAGAAATGTAACGTTTACGGCAAATGATTTTTCTGAATAATTTAGTGCTTAACTTTGGTTTCATGTTGCTTGATGAAACTTAACAGTTCAATATCCATCCATTTCTGATAAGGTCCCACACAAGAGATTAGTATGTAAAATTAAAGCACATGGGATTGAGGGCCGTGTACGGACATCAAAAGAAAACGGGTTGGCAGACAGAAAGATGAGTGATAAACAGGTCTTTTTTCAAATGATAGGCAGTGAAATACTGCAGGAATCAGTGTTTGGACACCAGCTATTCATTCCATATATTAAGATTTAGATGAAGAAATTAAATGGAACATTTCCATGTTTTCACACAACAAAGCCAGGTAGGAGTGTGAACTGTAAGGAAGGTAGAGATGTTTCAGTATGATTTGGACAAGTGAAGTGAGTGGAAAAATACATGACATATGCAGCATAATGTGAATAAATGTTGAAGTCATTCACTTTGGAAGCAAAAAAAGGCAGATTATTAACTGAAATGGTGATAGATTCGGAAAGGGGCACAGTGCAATGAGACCCGTGTGACCTTGTACACTTGTCTCCGAAAACATGTATGCAGATGCTTCAGGTGGTGAAGGCAAGTGCATGTTGCCCTTCATAGCAAGATGATATGAGTATACATGTTTCTTCAAGCATTTCAAAGCCTCATCTAAATGATTGAATGTAGACAATACACTTTGATACATTTCTGATCTTGGCCTCAATAAACAATGTATAATTTCCAGCAGTGGTCCGGATACCAAACTACGACATGGATAATAGCTATTTTGACCACTCCTTAAATCAATGAAAGATATCTGCACATCCTGTGTTAACTTACAACAACACATCAACTTGTTGAGAGCTACTAGGTCAAACATATGATCACTATAATTGATCAAAAAGAATATGTTTGTACACTGCAATGATATCGTTATTTAATTATTAATCTCTTCCACCCACCACAGAACTAGCGTTTTGTTCTTTTCTCCCACCTCTTCACCTTAATACTTGCTTGAAGTCCATTACTTCTAATTTTTTTTCCAGCTTTGACCCAAATATTTAACTTTGTTTCAGATGCTGCATGATCATCAACATCTTCTGTTCATTTAGGATGCTCAGCATTTGCAAAGTTTTGTGTCTTTATATTGGAGGAAAGTGGTTTATTACCCCTGGTTTTTCAGTGACTATTCTAGCAGTATAACCACTACTATACTCTTATTCATAATCAAAAAGAAATCTACATGCCTCAACAACTCTGTTGGTAGATGCACTGCCAAAATGACGGCATAGGGGTGAGGGGTGACCTTACAGAGGTTTATAAAATCGTGACAGGCATAGATAAGATGAATAAACAAGGCCTTTTCCCCAGTGTAGGGGAGTTCAAAACGAGAGGGCAAAGGTTTAAGGTGAAAAGGGAAAAAAATGTAAAGGGAGCTGAGGGGCAAGTTTTTCATGCAGAGGGTGATGCATGTATGGAATGAACTGCCAGAGAAAGTGGTGGAGGCTGGTACAGTTACAACATTTAAAAGGATGGGCATGTGAATAGGAAGGGTTTAGAGGGATATGGGCCAAATGCCAACAAATGGGACTAGTTCAGTTTAGGAAATATGCTCAGCATGGACATGTTGGGCTGAAAGGGCTGTTTCTACGGTGTAGGACTTTATAGTTACACCTACATTTCATGCAAAGTGAGCTGATTTCAGCTGATAAAAGTATAGGAACAATTACCTTGATCACGTAGAGAGAATAACATTTGGCACATCTACAACTGATTATTAATTCCTGCTATTTGCAGGAAAGTGCATAAATCTAAGGGAGATACTGGGGCAGGACATTCGTACAGCTGACTTATCACAAAATAATTTGTAAGATCTCACAGTTTTCAGAAAAAGGATAATGATTGAGATATTTCAGATTTTTCTCCTCTAGATTGGATTCCACCAATTAACTGTTATGCCACACATTACACCAAGATATAGCCAGAGAACAGATTTATAAAAATTAAAATTAAAGATATGGACATTACTTGGAAGGTTGACATTTATGGCCAAGTTGTAGTTGATTTGGAGGAGATGATAATGGGCCATTTGCTTGAACTAACACCATTTAGGATAAAATATATTCCCACAGTGCTGTTAAGTGCAGCATGCCACCAACTGAAATACTGTTCAGATATTTATTTGACAGGGAACATCACAGCTTAGGAATTGAGATAAAGGCTTGACATTATCTTAAACATATTACAAATTTACAATATTATTTAGCACTTGCTGAAAGAGTACTCACGTGGTCCTAGGAGGTATCCTGCACTGTTTAATGTCCACCCCCGTTTATCTTTTGCCTGCTGCAGAAACATTTCATTAACAACTTTTAGGTACCCTGCAATGTACTAGAACAACAAAACATCCATGTATATTTTAAAACACAAAACAACTATTTCTAGAAGGGAAGCTTAAATTGCATTAGTTCCCTTTTGAAATGGTGAATAAAAATTAGGGTACAATGCAGAAAAATAGCTACAGTTTTTAAAGTGACGTCATCCTCTATAAATTGATGTATCCATAGTTTTCTGGTCCTCATTTACAACGAATAAAAGAAGGAAAACTGAGCCATACAAAATGCTTTATTTAATAACTTGAGGACTGAGAATTTCAAAAAATAATTTTGACTGAAAGAAAAGAATGGTTGGTGAGACATTTAGCAAGATGCAGTGCAAATTTCAAACTGGAATCATTTGTAAAGAGATGGGTTTGACTGAATAGACAAAAGGCAGTAGATCTGCATTGAATAGAATAATGTTTGCAAAAATAAAAGAAAAACACATTCAAAACAAAAAAGGTACTGCAGGGTGGATAGCACTAAAACAAAATCCCATCAGTGGTCCTGATGGGTAAACTGAATCAGCAGAATAAGACCTGATCCGCAATTTTAAACATGCATATTGCCGTTAGTTAAAATAGCCTGGTGATATTCTGATTTGCGTCGTACAAATTCTGATTTGATTGTGCCATTCTGAGCAGGTGGCAAAGACACTTGTCCGTAGCCAGCTGGATGCAATAAAGTCTCAGCTTTATAGTTAAACCCTAATTTGAATGAATAAACTGCCACAGCTTTCTAGGCATATAAAAGGCAATGAGAACATGATCTGGGACTAAAGGAAGCCACTTTATGCTCCTTATCAAGCCAGAAGAGGTGCTTTACCAGACCTGGGAGAATGTTTAGGTCACCTCTGCCCTGGAGTTGGAGTTGATTTCTTCCCTCACAAGACCGTCTCCCAAAAACGCTCTCTTATGATTTATCTTGCTTGAGAACCTTTTCTTTACGGAGGCCAATATTGCCTTACTGCCTACTCCACTCGGGCACATTTGCCCAGTGTCACCTTTTGTCCATTTTGGGCAAGCAGCTACTAAAGTCTGTGGAGTTAAAATGTTGAGAGACTCGCTTTTGGTGGTCACCTGACCCCGGCACCAATCCTTTGGGTAGTTAAAATTCACCTTTCAGGAGAATCAAACCTACACGGTAGGGTTGTTCTGAACAGTTTTTACCAAAGCATCTGAAGTGTCTCTCGCTCCCTTTCCGCCTTCACCGTTCCCCAGTATTCCCCAAATGCACATGTTTCAGTGATGTTTATTGCATGGTATAGCCAAAGACCCAACGTCCATAATTATCACACAATTTCAAAATCAGAAATAAATAGGCAGCATCAATAGTATGACATTTCCATTTTGAATAGTAACGTTTCAACTGTTATTTAATAAATGGCTGTCTGCAGCAGAGATCCTTAATCCTACTCTTTCTAATTTTGAGTATTTACTTTTCCCTTCTCAGTTGTTAAAATAACATCTGCCATGCGTTTAAAACACTATTTTCGTTTCGGATTAACAGTATTAACATGGTCGTCCGTATGATTATACTCCGTGACATTTTTTAAGCCAATCCTGCATTTATGTAGAAACGGAGAAAGTCGCGAAATGGGCAGCTTTAGGTCCAAATTTACGCAGAGAAATGTGGAATTAAACGATACATGGAGTATCTGAAATAAGAAATTAGGAACTTCAGAAAGAACTCACCGGAAGAACTAACCCGAAAGAATGGGAGACGGCGGCACACAAGACTAGAGAGAGACACAGGAGACTGGCGAACCGTGGCATCTGAAAGCGGAGGGGAAGAAGAAAATAACAGAATTCCTGAAGAACTATCACAGAGAAAAATAGAACATCATTTTAAGACAACAAAGTAAATAGATACTTATTGGCATGACTATTGCGATCTTACCCTGTTTTTCCTCTTGAGTGTTTTCTTCTAAATTCGACGATATGATCTGCTGCATCTAATGGTTGAAGCCCCAAGAGTTGCTGAATTAACAATTTTGCTTCTTGACTGGAGCAATATCTACCATCACAGAAGTTATTGTCGAGAGTGCAGCGGGCTGTGTATTTATATGCGAAGCCAATCGGCTCACCAATCTGCCTCCAGCGTCATGAGCTCTATTTTCTCTGTATGTCACCCCATTAGATCCAAAATTACACCAATTAAATGAAATATACTTTTAGGTAATTTGGCTGCAGATAGACACGAAGCAGATAATTACATTTGACGAGTGCACTGTCCCAAAGGCTGGCTGCCCAACGGGTAAATTGCCTGGTATACACTAGCTATGAATTGTCACATCTGACTTCGAATCAAACACTTTGTCTCCGCGAGTATTACAATTATTTTCTATCCTCTTCAGAACTTTATTTTTGCCGTGCATGACACGCATACTTTCTAAATATTACAAAAATGCTAACACTCCTTTGTCAGAATTAGGTTGTCGATTTTTTTTAACTCTTCCCCATGACTAGTGAACCGATATTGCAGGTCAAAATATCTGCGATTTCAATACTTTTAATCCTGGATATAATTGGATATAAAAACACGTTGCTCTATGTCATTACTTATTTCCACAATTGTAAATACAAGCCGTTGTCTTAAGCTGGTCACAGTTTCTGTTGTAAATCAAGGTTTACAGGCTTCAGAGACATCTTTTCATTCGTTTGGGGGAATGGGCATTTTAAAAATTTAAATAATGGAAGTGTACAACCCAGGTTCACAGTTCACAGTTAATTAGGTCGACAAAGCAGTAATATTTAGATGACACTAAATTTAGGACTCAAAACCTTTGTAAATTTTAGGTAAAAGGAACTACTGATGAATATATGAAACTTCACTGGTAAAGTACTGGAAAAACAATACAACGGTGCAATCTTCCTGGAGTTCAGCATTGTAGGGGTATGTGTGTTGAAGATCATTCAGGGAATTCACCTTGCTGCACGTCTTTGTTTGTAATTATGGATAATGAAGATAGAAGCTCCAACTCTCTTTCCATCACACGGCTGAGCAGGAATCAAACCCATTCTTGTATTGGAAAGATTCGCAGATTTACAACAATGTATTTGGCTGGATTATGAATCTACCTTCTTTGATCATCAAATGGAACTCAAACCGGGAGGTTCTGACTCGATGGCAGAGACCCTGTCCTTGTATCACAAAATCTCCACTAGGGATCTAGACGTATTAAAAATGTAAGGCTTTAAACAGCTGCACACAATTCATCTGTGTTACAGCAAGAATTTGTTTTGGTGTTTGTTGTTCATGTCCTCAGAATGTCATGAAGTTATTTACATCCAATTTAATTGTGTTATCCTCAGGTGAGGAGGAGTGATCTGCTTCTCTCAGTATATGCCCTTCTTGGTTGGCCACAACATTTTTTTAAGATCACACATATTAGACTTTAATCAAAAGGTAATTAATTAGATCAAAATTAAGGAGTCAAATTGCAAAGTTTTCTTAAGCGAAAGAAAGAGTATTCTTCGGATTTAAGTTTAACCATGCATATTCCGACACATTTAATAAAGGGGCAGAAAGGGAGAATCGCAAGAAACCGAATATTGTATGAACAGAATACAGTTTTGCATCCGAAGAAGAGTTCTCCCGGTGCCCTGACCGATACTGTTCCTAAAACAGCAACACCAGAGGCACGTGTCTCCGTGGCTGTTCATTGGAAGTTCTAGCAGATAAACTGTGTGGTACCTTTCAAAATGAACAATTCTTCGTGGAGAACTCAGAATATACAAACTTCACAACAGCTGAAGAAACAAAATAGCTAAAACAGGCTTGAAATCTAACACAGCAACAACGATTCTAAGAGTTTTAAGCTGCAACTGTCTTTACTTTCCTGGTTGTACACATATCCTCCCCATCCTTTTTAAGCTTATTATTTGTGCCTGATGCCTTATTATTTGTTTGATGTCACTTTTTTTATTCGTTATCTTTCGCTCTAGAAAACCTTGCAATTTGACTCCCTAATTTTGATCTAATTAATTGCCATTTGGCTAAAGTGTAATAGCTGTGCTCTTACAAAAAAACGTTATGACCAACTGAGAGGAGCGGATCACCCCTCCTCCCCGTGTAGCGCGGTAGTATGTCCCTAGAACGAGAGACCCGGGTTCAAGTCCCACCTGATCGAGAGGTGAGCAATGACATCTCTGAACAGGTTGATTAGGGGAAGAAAAGGTCAGTCTACGCCTTTGGAAAGCAAGAGTTAACGTGACGATGTTTCTCTTCATACGATTATTTCCAAAATTTTCAGAAATTATTTCAGATGTTCAGCCTTAACGCTAAATCAGAGAGAAAACCTTCAAAAACCCATATGATGTTCAAGATCATGTGACAGCGAGGCTGGCGCGCGTTCTATAGCCAAGTCGCATGAGCAGTTCTGTACTTAGTTCAAACGTAGTTGGTGTTCGGAGCGCGTGGCTTTAGGTGAACTGCCGGCCCGGGAGCCATTAACACGGGACGGAAATCATGGGGGTGGTGCTCAACGGAACGTGGGACTTATCGTGGCGCGTCGTTACTAAAGGCGATGACCTGTTGAACATGACCAACTTTGGCTTTGAAGAATTTCGAAGGAAAAGTTTAAAGAAGAATATACATTTCAAAAGAAACACCATTCACGTCATCGATGAAAATCTTCCGCACGTCATTCTGTTCATATTTGGAACCTTTCTATTTGGAGGTAAAGTCACGGTCGTTATGTACGCCATAATTTACATCAACGAGAGATGGCGATGGACGAGTCGAGTTTGTGCACCATAGTCACAGTTATTTTGATGAGGGATGACTCCGTGCTGTGTCAAGGATGGAAATCTGATTGGAAAAATTCAATCATAGAATTGGAAGAAATGGGTGATATACACGGACTTTTAGAAGAACTTTATACTGCACGTGGTAGACTCCTAGCTAAATTCACAGCATGTTGAGCACAGAATGGCTGTGAACCCGGCTATGAAACAGAAAGCAGTAGGTTTAAAGGTTGGCCACTTAGAATAGTGGAAGGTGGGAAGTGGTACTCTCTTGTTGGAACAACATTCGTAATTTAAAAGAAATAATTTGGATTCCAGAATCTAGTACTATACCAAAATGTGCTAATTGCACTAAAGATGACAAAATACAAGGAGAGGTTAATAAATTTTCAGAAATTAGTGTGATTCTAAGTGTGATGGTGCATTTTGGTAGGAAAAATAAAGAAGTTACCTATTACTTAGAAAATAAGAAATGAAATGGGACAGAAGGGCAAAGAGATCTCGGGGTACAGGTTATCATTATTGTGAAATAGTGGTTGTTAAATCAAATCAAATTAAAAATGCAAGTACTGTTGACTTCATTTCTAGAAATAATGGAATTTGAAATTGTCAAGTTACATTAAACTGTAGTGTAGGCCCTTAGTTAGATTGCACTTAAAATACTGTGCCAAGTTCTAGTCTCTATTGTACAAAAGGATATAAAAGCTTGGAAAATTGTAAAAATGGATTTACAAGTATGATATCAGAGCTGAGAGGGTTGTTTTATCCAGAAAAGAGATGGCTGAGTTGTGACCTGATCAAAGGCTTCAATGTTATGAAGGGGTTCATAATGCAGATGTAGATGGACTTCAGGAAGGCATTTACTAAAGGCTTATCAAGAAGGTAGAAACTCATGGAATTAAAGGCAAATTGGTGGTATGGATTTGCAATTGGCTCATTGATATGTCACAAAGAGTAGTGGATTGATGCTTTTGAGACTGGTACACAGTTTCCATAGGTATTTCTCAACCATCATTTGAGTCAGTTATTCTTCAATTTTTATTAATGACCAAGACCGGGTGTCAGCAACCATTTTAAGGTTATTCTTTTAAAAAAAAAGGCCTAAAATGAGAACTTCAGGAATCTCAAGCTGAAAATTTGACATTCCTAAGTTAAATATTTGGCAACTTGTCAAATGTCTAGTAGGATGCTAGATCTGCGTATTAAATTCAATGCTTATATTTTTAATGTATCAATAGAAAATAGATCTAACTCTCATCATTGCATTTGTACTTTATTTTTTTTCATCATAATATTACCTTTATAGTCATCTTGAACTAAGGTGCATAGAATTGAAAGCATTTTGTAGGTTATGGATTTTCATGATTAGAAAAAAAATTCTCGATGCATGTTCAGAATAATTTGTCTTATGAAGCATATTTGAAATAATAATGGTTGTGACCATAAAACCTGTTTTTTGGAATAAAGGCATTATCTTTAATCATGCGTAGCTATATATATTTAAACAGAAGTATTTCAAGCATGTTGGTATTTTTTGTTTAAAATAATTGTTTAGAAATGTATAGTGCATCATATTATGTAGACCTAGCAGTAGACCGCATGGAAGTATTGTGGACTTTAACTTCAAATTTTCAAATATACTTTTTAAAAGAATGCTGGTACAGCCAAAAATGGCAGTGGATGTAAATTAAGTAGTTGTTTGGAGAGAATACCCACCATATGTCACACTGATGGATGCAAAGGAAACTCCAAAAAAAAATGAGAAGGGAGAGACAAGTCAAAACAGACTGGATGGTGATTTCTTGTGAATGCAAAGATGATGAAGGGTTGACTACCCCTGTAGATTATGCGTCAAACTGCAGACATATTTTGTGCTTTTCCCTTTGAAGAATACACAAGGATTAAAAAATCATTTTCGACTCATAGTGTGCTAATTGCACTGAAAGTTCATGTGTGTACACATATCAGCCTGGGCTTGAGCGTTAGTGTGATGAGAAGGTCACAGCTGAAGAATTAACTCCAGTCATCCCTGTGTAAAGACTCTGTGTGCTGAAAACCAGTTGAAACAAGTCTCTCTCTTCATGAATGCTGAAATTAAATTACATTTGAAAGGAATAAGAATGATAGAATCTCAACCAATCTGCAAAACTAAGGATTGTGGAATCAATTGTTCACATAGCAATGTCAATGCTATCAGTAAACTCCACTGCAACAGTCACAATCCACTCTTGATCAATTTAATCTGTTTTGGATTCGCGCGCGTGCGTATACGCACACGTATATATACACACACACACACACACACACACACACGCGCGCATCCCCCATTTAATACGACCATGGCTGACTGCATCTCAGCCTCACATAACCCATTAACTTGTTGCTAACTAAAAATCTGTCATCCTTTTAAATTTGTTCAGCGTCCTATTATCTACTGCATTCTCGGGGAGTGAATTCCACAGATTCACAATCATTTGAGAAAAGTAATTTCCTCTTATCTTTGTTTTAACACAGCCTTTGTGTTACTAATTCTGCTCATGTTTAATAATAAACTCACTTTTGTTAACTCGAAAGCCTGACCAAAGTAGCTTCTGCTGAAACATAGTTTCATAGAACATAGAACAGTACAGCACAGTACAGACCCTTCGACCCACAATGTTGTGCCGACCTATTATCCCACTAAGATCAAACTACTTTACATTATACTGTCATCCATGTGCCTATCCAAGAGTTGCTTAAATGTCTCTAATGTATCTGACTTCACTACCACTGCTGGCAGCGCATTCAATGCGCCCACCACTCGTGGCCTGGGTGAATAGTATCCATTAGAAAAGGAATTCTTTATAAATCAACAAAAAAGAAATTGCTGCAGAAACTCAGCAGGTCTAGCAGCATCTATGGACAGAAAATAGTGTTAACCTGCTGAATTTCTCTAGCAATGTCTGTTTTTGCTTCCAGCATCTGCAGTTCTTTATTTTATTCCTTCTTAAATTAACCTTGTTTTAACTTATTGAAGGTGCGGACGGGTGAATAAGAAAGGGGAGTTTGTTCTTCACTGGAAAATTAATTGTTTGAGATATCCTGTCTGGAATGAGTGTGAATTGGGGATCTTCACCTGGAGTCTGATCATCTTACACTTCACGATATATGTATGGCCCTTGTATTTCTTAATGAAGTCGAATTGGAAAAGGGTGGGAGTTGGAATGACATAGAATATAGAACAGTACAGCACAGGAACAGGCCCTTTGCCCAACCATATAAAAGAGCGCACAAAGCTTTGGAGTTGCGGTTGCAGACTTTTGACTTGGACTCAGGTGTCAATTGCAGTGTTCCTCAGATTGCAGATGATGTGAAACTTGACAGTTTATTAGATAGTGATGATAGTTATAGGTTTCAGAATAGTAAAATTGTTGGAAACCTGGAAAGACAGAGTTATTTACAGTGTGTCACTAGTTGCACCTTGGTTGTTTTAATACAGTATACTATAAATCCCATGATTTTGTAAATGGGCAAAAAGAGCTTGCTGTACATGTCCACACAACTTTCAGAACTGCTTTAAGTTAAAAAGTGGACACTTGCACTCATCTGTAGAGGAATGGATTATAAAAGAAAAGATTTGCATTTTTATAGCAATTTTCATGAACGTTGGACAGCTCCAAAGTGCTTTAAAGCCAATTTAAAGTACCTCTGAAGTGTAGTTACTGTAGCATTGTAGTAATTAGAGCAGCCAACACTGGAGTAACTCCTTACTTTTCTTCAAAATAATACCATGAGATCTTTTACATCCATTCAAGTAGATTAGGACTTAGCTGGGTTTATCTGGACAACTTCAGGGTTTTCACTTCAGAGAAGATATAAAGCCCTTACAGTGCGCAGAAAATATTTATCAGCTATTATCAAAAATGAGAAATTCAGTTATGACAAGAGGTTGAAAATATTGGGATTGTTTTCCTTGGAACAGAGAAGATTAGGCAGTGATGAGATGTTTTGCTCGAGTATACGGAAAAAAATCTATTCCTAAAGATTGGGTCAACATGCAGAGATCATACATTTCAAATCAGTGGCAAAAGATTAGAATGAAGTTATGTTGGAGAAATCATCTTGTTGCATAATTATCATGAATAGGAATACACTGAAAAAGTATTGGAAACTAATTCTAAAAATAACTTTGGTGGGAAATTCAGCAATTCCTTGAGGCTGAGGAGCTTTCAGAGTTATGGACAAAATGCCTGGTGGGGTGGGGGCACTGTTAGTAGTGATGGAGATAAATATGAGTGCTGTTTAAAATTTCTTAGGAAGATTTAAAGATAATCAAATCTAAAACAGTGTCATCTGGTCGTTTTATGAACATTCTTCCAGCACCCTGAAATTGTGGTATCAGAATTGAAATGAACTGCCATACAGTTTCATCAGCCTTCTGGTACTCCTTCATCTTAGCCACAGTGGGGTAGAAAGTGCAAATTACTTAATTTGATACGTTTTAGTTCCCTCCTTAAGAAACTTTTATAAATACGTCTTTAATATTTAACTTTATAATTCTGGTATTGATTTCGTTAGAATGATTAATTACTTTAGTATTTTAATTTCCTTGCTCTTTTATTAAGAAAACTAAAAACACATTTGATGGGCTTTATTTTTCAGCTGTGACCAGAACTTTGCTAAAGCGAATAAAGCTTCCATACACTGTAATTGTTTGCATGGCTGGTATTGCTTTCGGAGCATTAAGTGTCAAGTATCCACAGGTATACATCTTAATCTTACTGAAATGCCATCTTAAAAAAAAGTTAGTTCATATTATTTTAAAACCCGAAACAGTTTTGTCAGTGTCATATCGTTGTATTTCAAAGTTCTTTTGATAAGTAGATTGTGGAAACAAGTCAAATTTCACATCTTTGGCTAGTATCTGATTGGTCTTTTCAATTAATGAAACCCCAGCCTTGGGAACTGATCACAGCTCAGAATAATTAAAAGATTTTCTTCTGACAAAATGGTCATATAAAGGCCAATTAAGAGGCTCCAGTTATTTCTAGCCAGACATTTTACAGTCTTTTGAGAATTTCTTGGTTTCTTTATACTTTTCCTGAGAGATACATATAAGTTAGAGCATCATTTTCACAATGCAAGCAGTCACCCTGACACAGCTCATAATACACTGTGTTATATAACAGGGATGTAATTTATAACATAATTATCAAGGCTCCAATTTATGGTGACCGAGTATGTAAAATTCCATTTTTATACTATGGTTTGTGAGTTTTTACTGCAAAGATCCATTTTCTATGAAAAGGTAAGAGTGAGTTTGATTAATGTCATTATATACTCATTTACCTTTCTATCTATTTGAATCTCTAGGATGTACGGTAAGATGATATGCAATATGTATCTAGTGAAGGAAATATTTCCATTATCCAGCATTTTTGGGTTTGAGGGGAGCATGCCGGTTAGGTGAATTTGCTGGTTGCATAATAAATACTTGTATAGAAACCCAATACAGTATTTTGTAGTATTCTTTGAATAACAAACTTGGCTCAAAATGCTAAACGGACAGTGCAGTTTGCTTACTGGGTTTTGGAAGGTCTGATAGTATTCCATCGGGTCATCAACAAAATTATCACTTGCATCTTGAGCAACAGTTGATGTAGAGGGCAGAGAAGTTGGGGATTTAGGCCTCGCAGCCCTCTTGAGTAAATTTCTAATATCTGCCTGCTTGCATTTTTTCCTCACATGCAAAAATTGGGAATGCAGGAGGTGAAACTGCATTACAGTTTGTGCAGTAAAGTGGTTTTACCGCTCAACAGGTCTTCAGGACATTTTCAAATTCTTAGCAGCAATATGCCATGGAACTTTTTTGACCTGCATATTCACTTGTCATTCACTTTCCTGTTCTTGAACTTTAGGTTTGTCACAATTCAAAACACCATTTATAATTTCTTCTGTAGTTAACGTCATTGCAACAAGAGCATGCTTGTCAACATCCGGTCACTGATCAAGTTCATCTCTAAATGCTTTTCACTGGATTTACAGTACCTGCACCGTCACCCAGTTCCATGATTTCTTCATGCTCAATATTCATTTACTCGCTTCCTCGCACACAGAATCCTTCAAAAACTTCCTCAGCCAAGGATACTATGTCAAACATGACAAGAGGTCATAGGTTTTGCCAGCAAGTTTGGAGAGCTTCACTTACCACCTGGTTTCATGCCTGTGTTATGTTAAAATTGATGGACTTCTTGGACTGAAATACATGGATTTTTCCTTTTCTGGTTTGTCAGTTTTCTCATGAAATCATGTTGGTCAAACATTTTCAAGTTTTGAATAACATCGTGATCCATTGGCTGAATCAAACTTATCACATTAGGAGGGGAGAAACACCCAAAGATATCGCCATTAATGAATTTTTCCATGGGAGGGATGAGTGTGACAATTATCCAACAAAAGTGCAACTTTGCTTTCTTCAGGCATTCCTTCTTTCGTAAATGATCTTTCATACTATACACAACACCATGATGAAAACACCAAGTAAAAATTTCTGTATCCATGCAAGCATTACTTTGGGCTTTGTAATCAACAGAAAGGTGAATTATGCCTTTGAAACATCTTTTTTTTTTGCATATTTTCTGATTACTGTCAGTTTCACGTTATGCATTCCTGTGGCATTTGCATACAAGGATGGTTATATGGTCTTTGTTTTGATTAAAACTACGAGCAACCTTTACATCAGTACCAGCTAAGAAGCGTGTTGCAGCTCTTCTTCTCCCAACTTTGCAGTCCCTCTCACCTTCCGACTTTGCAGCCTGCCCTCCACAACTTTGAAGCCCCCACCCACAAAACTTGGCAAACACTCAAGCATACATCTGTATGGATACCTTGCAGACTCACTCCCCCATCCTCTAGTCCTTTAGTGTTGCTTGTCTCGTTCTTGAGGTCCAAGCATTACCAGCCTTAACTTCCACATCAGCAAAACTCGCTGCAACTATTCATTTTTTTTTGTATGCTGCTCTAGTCATAGGTTGTTTTTCTCTTATGTTTGCTGGTAGGCTCACTATGAGCCCATGAGCAGCAAATGTGAGAGAGAACAAATCGGGGACTATAGCAGCCCCATGTCGAGGGGTGACTTATCTCCTATTGATCATTCCTGTAATGGAATTGTTTGGGTACTTTAGGGGCTTAAAAACCTGTGTATTTTGAGGGCTGTTTTTAATAGTATTGGATGAACATCTCTAAGATGAATACTTGAATATCAAACACATTTATATAAGTCACTAATGCAGACTAAACTCAATAGTTTTTTTGGAAGTCTACGAGGGGAAAGTGCAGCTACAGCAATGGTTCACCTGTTTGGAAATGGTTAGTGTGACACAGGGCTATCTGTAGATAATCCTCAATCCATTTTTTTTAATCCACCCTGAGAGACGTGGCCATCACTGGGTGGCCAATATTTATTGCCCATCCCAAGCTGTATTTGAGAAGATGGTGGTGAGCTGCCGCCTTGACTGCTGCATTTCATGTGCTGTAGGTAGACACATGATGCTGTTAGGGAGGAAATTCTAGGAATTTAACCCAGCAATAAGTAAGAAATAGCAACATGTTTCCAAATCAGGATGGTGATCGGCTTGGAGGGGAACCTGCAGCTGGTGGTGTTCCCATGTATCTGTTGCCCTTGTCCTTCTAGATTAGAAGTGGTCATGGGTTTGGAAGGTGTTTTCCAAGGATCTTTAGTGAATTCCTGCATTGCATCTTGTAGATAGTACACATTGATGCTAATGAACATCGGAGTTGGAGGGAGTGGGTGCTTGTGGATACGGTGCCAATTAAGTTGGCTGCTTTGTCCAGGATGGTGTCAAGCTGCAATGCTTGTTAATAAATTTATGTTGGAAATGTAGATGTTCATAAAGGTTGAGTACCTTATGTAGAACTGTGAAGCTGTTAAACTTTTTAAATCCCCTGTCCTTTCAGAAATAAAACAAAACAGCCTTCTTGTGTAGAGCGTAAGAAGCTATTTTACTCATTTCAGTGACTGTTTGACAACCCTGATTGCTCTATTTATGGCATAATTACTATTTGACTGATTTCCGCAACCTACCATTACAACAGGGAGGCTGTGAGTTCACAACTTGATTGGCAGTTTAGGCTATTAAAAGATTAGTCATCTTCAATATGGGATTATGTGTGTAAATGTTTGTCTTAAAACAAATTAGATATTTGTGGAGGTTTAAATGAATTGAATGGGCTTTCGTGAATTAAATTTGTTTCAATAATATGATATCTGTAATCAATGTCTAGAACTATACTTTCTTACAGATCAAGAGGTCAAATTATTGACTTGATGTGGAGGGAGTAAAGGCAAAGTACGGTTTATGGGGAAGGGTCATGATTTGTCATGAGTTAGTATGACAGATATAAATGGCACTAGGAAGGCCACAGTCTCGTATTCACATGAGTTGGCATGCATGAGGGATTCAGAGGGATTGTAGTGTGAGGGCTAGAAAGCCTAATATTTAGTTTAAACAATTGATCTGAAGCCCTAGAAGATTAAGGGAGGCCTTTTAACCCAGCACACCTCAACACTGATAGCAGACCTGACTGCATCCTCCCTGAGCCCCATCCAGGGACAACAGTTGCTCCGTACTTTGTACTTTTTCCCTAGATGTGTGCACAAACTAGGAAATTTCCCAATTTGAACCACCTAGCTTGGAAGCCTAAAACTCATAGAAAGATTCAGCTTTGTGACCTTTCATCAGAAATATTAATTGCATGACCACAAGAGCAGGTCTGAGGCTAGGAGTACTCACCTCCTAGCTGCCCAAAGCCTGTCCACCATCATCAAGGCACTTGTCAGGGTTGTGATGGAATACTCCCTACTTACATGGATGGGTGCAGCTCCAACAACATTGAAGAAGTTTGACACCATTCACAACAAAGCAGTCCGCTTATTTGCACCACGTCCACTTCCTCCACCTGTGATGCTCAGTAGCAGCAGTATATGCTATCCACAAGATGCAGTGTAGAAATTCACCAAAGATCCTTAGACAACAACTTCCAAACCCCACAACCACTTCTGTCGAGAAGAATGAGGGCAGGAGATACATAGAAACACCACTATCTGCAAGTTCCCTTCCAAGCAAATCACCATCCTGACTTGGAAATATATTGCTGTTTCTTCACTGTCACTGGGTTAAAATCCTGGAATTCTCTCCCTAAAGGCATTGTGGGTCTACCTACAGCACATGGGCTGCAGTGGTTCAAGAAGGCAGCTCCCCACCATCTTCTCAAAGACAACTAGGAACAGGCAATAAGTACTGGCCAGCCAGCCACACCTACATGCCTTGAGTGAATAAAAACATTAGATGTTGTGTCATATATGCTGTTTACACCTTACCATTGTTCGTAATGATATTTTTGCTAATTTGATACCCTCTAAGTAGAGTTTGAGATTTTTCTGTTCTGTAGAATAGTCTGCCACTATTATATTAATTCTGTATTATTTTGACTTTTTTAAGTATTATAAATGACTAGATAATTTATCTTATATTTTTAGGTTCGTCAATACAGTGAAACTTTGGCAAACATCAATCCATTGTTGCTTATTCATGCATTCATGCCAGTGTTGATATTCAGCAGTGCTTTTGAAATTGAATCTCATATATTTTTGAAGTCATTATCACAGGTAAGTCTTGACCAAGGGCACATGACTTCAATACAGCCTTGGTTCAAGTGCCAAATTCCTCAGCTGGTGTGTCGGTTTCTGCTTTTGATATCAAGATAGCATTTGTCTGAGTATGGCATCAAGGAACCTGAATATAGTTGAAGTCCACGGGAATTAAATAGAAACCTCCATTGGTTGGAGTCATATCTCACACAAAGACATTATTGCAGGAGGCCTTCAAGGAAACGTCATGGGCCCGACCATTTTTGTTTGCCTAATGACCTTTCCTCTATCAGAATATCACAATCGGAATGGTGTTGAGCATTGCCGTATTTAATACTATTTGCAGCTGTTCAAATACTGAACCAGTCCTTACCCATGTGTAGAATGACCCAAACAACATTAACGCCAGGGCTGATATGTGTCGAGTAAAATTTGCATTACACAAACATTAGGCATCTCAAACATTTAGAAAGTCTAACCATCTCAATCTACTTTCAACAGCATACCATCATGGAATCCCTTTCATCGTAAATATCCTTGGTGTTGCCATTGACAGGATACTTAACTAGACCAGCCATATCAAAACTGTGGCTGCAAGAGTGGTTCAAAGGCTAGGAATTCTATGAACAGTAATTCCTGCTGGTTCCACAAAGCCTGTACAAGTCGCGTTGGGATACCCTCTGCATTATGAATACTGCAGCTACAACAATAATCAAGAAACTCTATGCTGTTCAGGATAAAGTAGTCAGTCTGATTGGCACCCCATTCCCATTTTAAACATCACTCCCTCCACTACTGGCACAGTGGCAGCAGCGAGTCCCATCTACAAGATGCATTGCAGTAACTTGCCAAACATTCTTTTGACAACATGTTCCAACCTACAACATCTAAAACCTACAAGGACAAGGCCAGTAGGTGCAAGGGAACACCACCACCTGCAAGTTAGCGTCTAAGCATACTACACCCTTATTTGTCCTAATATTATCATTCCTTTGCTATTGGTGGGTTTAAAGTCCCAGAGCCTCTTTCCTAACAGTGCAGCTCCAAATGGATATAATTCAAAATAGTGGCTTGCGGTCACCTCATCAGTGGTATTCAGGATGAGTAACAAATGCTGGCTTTGCCAGTGAAGCTTAAATCCTATGATCATATTTTTAAAAAAGCCCAAGCATGGCAAGTATGGGATGAGCACAGAAGTGGACTTACTGAACGTGAGAAGATGCGCAAAAGCTGCAGCAGGAAGGAGAAGAGACTCCTATGAGGAGGAGTGATGTCTGCAACAGCTCTACGTTGGATTAAGAGCATGCTTTCAAAGGTAGGGTGTTCTCTTAGTCTGATAGACAGTTGCACTCCCTGATGGTGCCTTCCCCATCATGCAGATAATTATTGCCTTGTATACTTTGAGCTCTTTTGTGAGGAAGAAAGAAATGGGAAGCATGGTGGTTCAGCGGTTAGCACTATTGCCTCACAGCACCAGGGACCTGGGTTTGATTCCAGCCTCAGGTGACTGTCTGTCTGTGTGAGGATTGCACATTCTTCCTGTGTCTGAGTGGGTTTCCTCCGAGTGCTCTGGTGTCCTCCTCAGTCCATAGATGTGTAGCTTAGGTGGAATAATCATGCATGTTACACTCTGGCATTTATAAAGAAGGCTATATGTTGATTCACACCCGAAAATAAGACACTGTGCCTTAGAAGAAAGTCCACATTCACTGGCTTACTTCCTGGCCTCCTGAAAACCTTAGCTGTCATTGAAATTGTATATGTCGTCATCTTGAATGGCATAGAGAGTGGAATGGAAGACCTTTAACAAGGTTGCAGATTCTTTCCCGGATAGAACTCTAAAATACAACATAGAATTATGGAAATCTGAAACAAAAACTGAAATTATTGGTAAAAACGCAGCATCTCTGGAGAGAAAGAGAGTTAACATTTTGAGTCCAGTACCCCTTCTTCAGTTCTTCAAAAAGTTAGAGTCCAGTCACTTGACCCAAAATGTTAACCCTGCTTTCTCTCCTCACGGAATGCCAAACCTGTTGATTTTTTTTCCAGCAATTTTTGTTCCTATTTTCTTGACAGAACTTAGCTGTTACCTCCCTCATATACAGTAAGAGGGAATTAGGCTTTTCAATTAGGTTTCAGACTGTTTGGATTGGCATACTTGTTCAGCTACTTAACCTATAAGTTATTAATTTTTATTTGATGCTATCGCAACTGGTTGACCCACATCCAACGGTTTTCTATAAAGAAAGTTTTAAAATGAAACTCCAATGATGTAGCTCCATTGATGTAGCTCCATGAAATGTTCTTGCAAAAAAAAGCTTACAAGTTTGTAATTGTGAAGTTATTGTATCTGAAAAATCTTGCTGAATATGTACTTTTAGTGCTGAAGTGTTCTTCAGTTTTCAGTGGACCCTCTTTATATGGAATAATCTGCATAAGATCCATGATTGCCACTGCTTATCATGTTATAAATGTGATCAATATATCCGTGGATTCAATACCAGTGCCTGCTGCCAACACAATGATGGAACAAAAACAAAGTTGCTGGAAAAGCTTGGCAGCATCTGCGAAGGGAAAAACAGAGTTAACGTTTCGGGTCCGGTGACCCTTCCTCAGAACTGATAGTGGCTGGGAAACCGTCAGTTTATATGCAGAAAATAGGGAGGTGGGTGGGTTAGGGAGTAAACGATACGATAGAGCCCAAAGAGAGAGAAAGACATTTGGACAGACAAAGGAGTTGCTAACGATCAGGCTGGGAGGGTGAATAGTTGTTAATGGGGAACTAACAACAGGGGGTGTGTAATGACAGGCTATGTGGTAACAAGGCCTGGTGTATGGGGTGGGGGGCTGGGACATGGGAGAGTTTAGGCCCAAAAATGATCGAACTGAGTACTGAGTCCGGAGGGCTGTAGGGTCCCCAAGCGGAAAATGAGGTGTTGTTCCTCCAGCTTGCATTGGGCTTCACTGGAACACTGCAGCAAGCCAGAGACAGAGATGTTGGCCAGGGAACAGGGTGGTGCGTTAAAGTGGCAGGCAACAGGTAGTTCAGGACAACAAGGTGCAGGGCTGGATGAACACAGCAGGGTCTTTTTTGCGAGCAGAATGTAGATGTTCTGCGAAGCAGTCGCCAAGCCTACGCTTCGTTTCCCCAATGTAGAGGAGACCACATTGTGAGCAGCGAATGCAGCAGAACAGATTCTGGGAAGTGCAGGTGAAGGGTTGCTTCATCTGGAAGGTATGTTTGGGCCCTTGGATCCTGGAGAGGGAGGAGGTAAATAGGCAGGTGTTGCACCTTCGCTGGTTACAGGGGAAGGTGCCGAAGGGCTGTGGGGAGGTGTTGGGTGTGAAGGAAGTGTGGACCAGGGTGTCCCGGAGGGAATGGTCCCTGCGGAAGGCGGACAAGGGAGGGGAATTTTTTAATGATCCAGTATCCTCAGTGCTTTTGGGAAATGAATTCTAGAATACAAACTAAATGTACAATTTTCTCCTTCATTGAGGATACTAATGAGTGAGATTGAGTGAGAGTCCAAAAATAAAATTTTCACCATTGAGAAAAATGCCAACCCAATTAAGTTCTCTCTCCTCAGATGGTGAGATCACCAAATCTTGCCAGCACTTGGTGAGAAGGCTATTACCATGCAATTGGATCCCAGTAAGACTCCAATTCACCTGATTAACTTCCCCTTCCTGGTTACATATCACCCCCATACCAAAATCAAAATGAGAAGGTCTCTGCTTCAAAATCTCAACGCTTAACACTATGCTGATATCCATTAAACTGGGTCCTCAGTGCCGAGTCCAGATGAATTCATGGCTGTGCTGGCCAATTTCCTTCACGTAGAACTGCTTCGGCTGCAGCAGATGCCTCTGTGGTAAATGGGATGTTCTCCCTGAAACCACCATTTATTCAGCTGGGCAATGGCTATGCACCAGCCTTAGCACATCCGGTCACTTTCATTGGGCAGGCTTGTGCATCATTTGCTGACATAAAAGATCCATTTGGGACAGTGGTAGCTAGTAGTTGTTTTCTTAAAACTAGCAAGTGTGGACAGGGTAAATAAAGATGCAGAAGTTCCACTGTTGGACTGGGGTTGACAAAGTCAGAAGTCATACAATACCAGGCTATAGTCCAACAGATTTATTTGAAATCACAAGCTTTCGGGGTGCTGCTCCTTCGTCAGGTGATATGGGCAGCGGTCTAAAAGGAGAATGCTCCGAAAGCTTGTGATTTCAAATAAACCTGTTGGACAATAATCTGGTGTTGATTTACCCTGTCAGAAGTCACACGACACCA